CATGGTCGTTTTTTTTCGGCTAAAAATGCCTTACTATACATGGTCGTTTTTTTCGGCGAAAAACGCCTTACTATCCATGGTCGTTTTTTTTCGGCTAAAAATGCCTTACTATACATGGTCGTTTTTTTCATCCAAAAACGCCTTACTATTCATGGTCGTTTTTTTCGGCGAAAAACGCCTTACTATCCATGGTCGTTTTTTTTCGGCTAAAAATGCCTTACTATACATGGTCGTTTTTTTCGGCGAAAAACACCTTACTATACATGGTCGTTTTTTCGGCTAAAAACGCCTTACTATACATGGTCGTTTTTTTCAGCTAAAAATGCCTTACTAAACATGGTCGTTTTTTTCGGCGAAAAACGCCTTACTATACATGGTCGTTTTTTTCAGCTAAAAATGCCTTACTATACATGGTCGTTTTTTTCGGCGAAAAACACCTTACTATACATGGTCGTTTTTTCGGCTAAAAATGCCTTACTATACATGGTCGTTTTTTTCGGAGAAAAATGCCTTACTATACATGGTCGGGATGTTTTTTTGTGTGGGGCAATTTTCTCGTGAGTATCGCGATGTGCATTGCAGATACTGAATTCCCTATTTTTTTTTTAAGAAGCATTTATTCAGTTAGTTGACATTTAGTTCAACTTGAAAATAAACGGAGAATACATTTTCCTCATCCAAAGTAGTTTCTTATAAAAATGAATCCCATTTAACTTAAGGGCCATTCCGTGGCTGGAGCGTTAATTTAAATTCCAACAAAAGTGCTTTTTACGCTTACATTTACAAGGTGTACATATTTATAATGTATAAAGTATATATGGATCTTTGTAATTGTGCAGGTTGAGTTAAGGTTCGACTTTTTTGTAAGTGTCTTAAAAAGGGTTTTCATAAACACAGAAGGCACGATGGCTTTAAAAAAATCAGATTGTGTTTGTTTTATTGGTTCTTTTCCAAAATCTTTCGAGAAATACTTCTTTTTGGGCAACACAACACACTTTACTGTCATCGGAGACAGGATCCATACGAGTCCCGCATCGGCTTTTTCTGTTTCTAAGATTCTTTCCAGCCACATCAAAAGCTGCACAAGTTTAATAACACAACACTATATACATCCGGAACGCCACAAAACATGGTTCATTCTCCCTCATTAACAATAAGGCCGTTTTTTGTTTGCTCCAGCAAATAAAATACTCCCAATTTGAAAAGGAAGGAACACTTTCAATTCAAAGTCAAGCGAAGCAACAAAAATATGAATGCGGGGCCAACTATTGTGCTCGGTGGCATACTGGAAGATGTAAAGCGATTTCTTGTCGGAAACAGAAAGTGGCCTCTGTAAACTGCGTATAAATAATACATGGCACGAACACACTTTGAAATACAATTGATGTTTCACATCACGTTAAAAGAGTTATTGCACAGCTACCCAAACTGTTTCACTTTGACCTAAGCAAACGTGTCTTTATTCAAGCGCGCGCACACACACACGCACGCACGCTCTCAAATAATAAGGTTATTTACAGCATGAATGGCACATGTACAAGCGTCAAACAAAGCGAAATGTACAGAACAATGATCCCACCAGTATCCTGCCAAAGTTTGCGTCATCTATAACATGACCATGAGCCATGAGAATGTCATCATATAGATACACAAAATGAATGGCATGAGACCTTTTGGAGAAACTCTGCCTTTTTTTTTCTCTCCTTTCCTCGCCGTTTGTTTGTTTTGGTCCAAAACTAGAATTCATTGCACAATGGGAAACATCAAACCAGCTCCATTGTGGCTCGAGAAGCCTTCAGTATCCTGATCGGCTAATTGCTCATTCACATGGTTAAGGCAAGTTAAAAGTTCAAACTTTGGCAAGTAGTGGCAATCTCCCATCCTCTAACTTGATTGTTGTTGTTTTTTTTCTACAATCTTTGATCATGCACACTCCAGTGATAGCTTGAAGTCACTGCATTATTGCACATGCTCGTACATCGGCTTTTTTTTTTTGTTTTGTTTTTTGCAGCAGCACTTCAACCTCACATTTCAGCAAACATGCACGTTTAGAAATGCCAAATCTCGCCACTTAAGCACTTGACGAACCAAAAAGGAAGCTGGTGACAAAAACAGTGAGCCACTTGCTGGTGTCTATGGCTCGTCGCAGAAAATATTTTATACAGTCACAAAAAAATCCACCGGGCCTACGTTCCTCCATTATCTCGACTAATACATTGTGAATGCCAGTGAGTTCGATTTAAAGGTTGAAATATATTCGGTGCTTGATGGAATGACAGATTGTTTGTCTTTGAGTGAACCTTTCTTGACCACACACCCACCGCACTCATACACTATTGTTCAAAAGTTTGTGGGTCACTCGCGAATATCTTAATTTTTTTTTTTTTAAAGTAGAAAAAAAGTTAGAAAATTAAAAATACTTATTGTCATGTTCATTAAAATTGTATGACCTGACAGGGAGTTTAAAAAGGAATTCCTCTCTGGCCCCATTTTGTGCCTCTAAATTGATTAGAAACCACTGCGCCTGAAAAAAAAAGAACAAATCAGAGGCAGGAGTCGTGAATGACGACATGTCAGACATTTGCCATGAACTTGTGGGCACACTGATAGCAGGTACACTGCCACGGCCTCGCGGTGGCTTGTACCTTGGGCTTCAGTTTCGCTCAAACTATGGCGGAATATCCCCTTCCAAAATAAAGACAATGTATTTCTAAGTGACCCCAAACTTTCTGAGCATGAAGTGTATGTGTGCAGAGTTCCTCTCACAAACCTCCTTTTTACGTGCAGAAAACACCCTTTCCCCCTCCACAGGTTCTCGGAAGACGACGTTTTGAGGGCATCTTCAAGCCGTTCCGTCCGGCTTGTCACCGCAACCACCAGGGACACGTTTCACACACCTTCTTTCATACACACTGCTGACAGTTCCACTCAAAGAATAACACTGACTGCGCTTTTGAGGGGTTTGGGGACGCTGAAGGGAGTTTGGTAAGGCCTGGTTGGAGACAAGAGGTTTAGGGGACAGAGGAGGTCTTAGCGATTTTAAACGTCGAGGTCCGTAGCATCGAGTCTGGTTGTTCGGCGGTCTAAAGCAAGCATTGGCTGGTGCGCTTCCTGGCAGCAGGGCGCTGGTTGGCCCCAGGGGCTTTGACACCGTCAGTCCTCAAGCTCCGGACATCAGCAGGTTGCTCTCGGGCACCACCTCCTGGCTCCTCAGCTGCATGCAGGAGAGAAGGTTGTGAATGAAATTGGGCAATATAAGCAGCCCCAGACATGATGTGGGGGTAACATGCTGTTAATATTACTCTGAAAAATACTTCTGGCGTTTGTGTTAGTTGTATGATAAATCAAATGGTATGCTCAAGATAAGTAGTGAGTGTCGTGCTCTTTGACAAAAACAGGAACAACACACAAACATGAACGCACACACGTACAAGTTTGAAAGTTTGTGACTCACATTGGGCAGCAGCTCCCTATTTTAATTCTGCTGCTCCCACGCCAAACTCATCCAAGCATCCCTGCCAAAGCGCATGCAGCGAAGTCTCTCTGGAACCGCCCAGGCTCAATTTAGGTTCAATTTAGCTCCTCCCCCGACATACAAAGCTTGTCTCTTGATCAAGATGCATCACTTCAACATAATTTCTTGAACTGTACTGTACTAGGTTCCCATTTCGACACGACTTTGGTGTAATCATGCGACATTTCAGAGTGTTTCAGAAAGACCACAAAAATATGAGTAGGTGTGTTTTTTTTTGTAAACTATGCAAGATTGGTTAAAAAAATGTGAATTTGCGAAAAAGGGTTCACACCTTGAACGGGAAACATGCATGTTAGTTCCATTGAAGACTCCAAATTGTTCATTTGTCGATATGTGCCCCTGCGATTGGTTGGAAAGAGCCCCGCCTCTCGCCTAAAGTCTGCTGGCATAGGTTAAACTCTATAGAAAATGGATGGATGAATATTGATCTATAAATACTTTCTGTTGCTGTACGGTGAAATGACTGTAAATGATGAAATGATGAAGGCGTTAATGTCGGCGTGATTGCAAACAACAAATGCACCGCAAGGTAAAAGCTGCCAATCCAGAAGCAAAATCGGCATCTGGGGCAGCCTCTACCTATTCTGGCAAGACAATTACCGGCGTAGGGAGCGGAAGACGAGGAGCTTAGAGAGGAAAGTCTCAGCTCGTTCTTCTGGAGGTGTTCACACGCAGTGTGAGACCAAAGGACGAGTAAGACACAAACAGACAAGAAGTGATGGAATCACAGGTAAGGGTAATGAGAAGAGAGGAGACAATCCTGATACAAATAATGATTTGACCCGGGGGACGAGTCCTATGAAAAAAAAAAGAGACATTTACCGAACATTGTTTTTTTTTTCCTTACCTCCAAGTTTGTCCTTGCTTTCTTCAAAACATCCCGAGTCCTTGACACTGTCAAAACAAAGTGCATTTCATTTCAGTTCCTTTGTTCACAGAGATCCTCCAAGAGGTTGTTCGTTGAAATACAGTGGCGCCTTGAGATACGAGCGCCAAGAGAAGAACGTCATTCCCAGTGAATAGAAATGGACATTTAATTGATTGATTTTCCATAGTGTCGAGGTAAGTTGAGTGTCCCCATGTTTACATCTCCTTGTTTCATGAAACATGAAAAGTTCTCACGCCCCAGATTTGTTGGCATTATTGTTGGAATCTGATTTACTGTCTTATGTTTACGCCACACTTGTTTACAGAAAATACTCTTTAGAAATAAATCATCTGTTTGTGATGGTCAAAATGATGGCACTTGGTGAGACTTTTTTTTTTTTTTTTTTTGAAGACTTTACTTGGTGTAAAAACTCTGTTAACCAGTGGCCTATTGGGCTCTTTTTTAAGTCCAAATTTGGAAGTGTTTGAAATTCATCTGCTGCGGCGCCTTCTCACCCACTTGTGCTAAATTTGTTCCGCTCTTCTTCATTTGTAACTTACGCTGGTTCACGATGAAATGCTCCATGCTCTCCTTGGTGCGACTGGTGCTCCTCAGTCTTTGAATCGTCCCCTTCAGTACCTCCTCCTGCTCAGACACGCGGAGCTTGAGGGACAAGATCTCCTCTTGCATCGACTGCTCCTGTGTTCAATCACATGAAATGTGTGATTGTGCGACGTCACCGGAGTCGTGAATTTCCATCCCGCTGCCGGGGAGCAAACCTTCTTCAGGTTCGGCGTGGAGGCGTCGGCGCTGGGCAGCGCAGCCCTCCAAAACATCTTCAGCAGAGACGCCGCCTCCTCCAAAATCTGCCTCAGGGTCTTCGTGTTGGACAAGAGACTCGTGGCATTGCCGTAATCCAAGAACTGCAAAGAAATGAGTCAGATAACGGCTCCTGATTATTGAAAAGTATTCGAACACCCGGACGGTGCAGCCACAGGAATTTTGGGGGGACCGCAGTGGTAAAGGTCGAACAACAGGGTTCTCACCTGCTCATTGTTTTGTTTCTGGGTGGCTCCTAACGGTGAAGGAGAGCTCAGGCACGGGCGCAATGCTGCCTCCATGCGCTGCACGATGCTGCGACCTTCAAGGACTTGTTGCTGGAGAGCGTTAAAGTCATCCACGTGACCGACGGCGTGGCGGCCATAACGGTTGGCGAACGAGCCATCGGGGGCGTCACCTTCCAGCTCAGAGTGCGGGTCAAGGGGGTCTGGGGCGGTTGAAAGGAAATACAAAGAAATTTCTTTCATTCTAGTTTTGCGGAGGTCAGTTGCGAGTGAAGCAAAGCGCTGACAGGCACATTAGAACCAAACTGTGTACGAGTGAAGCCACAGTCATGCAGTGCGGTTAAAGTCACACCGTTGGCGGTGCTATGGCTGTCATCCAGGTCCGAGTAGGGGGGACAGGGAGATCCACAGTTAAAGAGACCAATGTCCCTGACAGGTGGAGAAGGGGCCGGGTCTGCGGAGCACACATACACAAACCAGGCTGGGACACACATCACACCGAAGCCTCACATACACGTGCACAGTGAACCGCCCGCCTAGTCATTTGTCCGATATGTTTTTCTGCAGGGAACCTGTCTTGGCCTATTTGGGTATCGTGGTTTATTTTGAAGGGTTATGTTGTCAAAAGACTTTGAAATTTGATATACGTTTTTAGTTCATGATAGTTCGTGGTACATAATGGGTTTAAACTACAGTGATATCAACAAGGTAAATTTGTTCCACACCAAATCTTTTTTCCCAATGAAAATGACTTGAAGTTTAAATTCCATTCATTTGTTCGTGAAGAATTCCACAACTACTGTGACTCAGTAAACTGCAATAATATCAGTCATTATTTTCCACAGCGGATAAAGAAAACATGCCCATGATTTGCGCCACATTGTCTATCCCCAAATGTTGCTGCACCGTTTGTGTTCAAATATCCCTTGCTAAATGACCATTCATGAGCCTGTTTATGGTGTTTTGCATTGTGCGTCAGCGTTAAGCTAGCAGAAGGTGAAGTTGTGAGGTTGTTTTCAATGCACATCTAATTTTCTTTGTTTTATGTTGAGTCTAACAGTAAACTTCAAATGGGAGTCGCATTAAACCGCTCGAAGCCTCTCTTTTTTTGTTTTTTTTTTTGGATGAATTGCTGTGCCAAATTGTAACTTCAAATGGGAGTCGCATTAAACCGCTTGAAGCCTCTCTTTTTTTGTTTTTTTTGGATGTACTGCTGTGCCAAATTGCAGCTTGCTGTGAGGTCAGACTAGATGAGATAACTCCAACTCTACCATGCTCGCATGCAAAATTTTTGCTTGCAAGTCAGAGCAAAAATTGAGCGTTGGCTTGCATCTATAAAAACTCTTAAGACGGGACAATCAGGCACTACCACAACATAGGCAATTATTTTGTATTATTTGTAGGGACAGTCAAATACTCATGTTTATTCGCTGTTTGGGACAGGACTCAGTCAGCTTTCCCTGGGGGGAAGGCGGGGGTTTCCTGTACAGGCAGTGACGATGTTACCATGGAGCAGCTGTCGCCTGTAGACGTTTTCTCTCTGAGGGCTGGCGCCGAAGGCCGACAGGGACGGCGTGCGAGGGGAGCTGCCGCCCAGTTTTTGCTCCAGCTGCTTGTGGAGCTCCAGCTGCTTGAAGGCGCTGTTCTCCTGGATGCTGCTCTGCAGCTGGGCCCGCAGACTCCTCACCTCGCTCAGTAGCTCCCCCAACTCCACAGGCAGGCCAGGAGCTTCGCACAGGAAGCCTGAAACCAAAACGCAAGTTCCGCCTTCAGGTTCAGGATGTGTGTCACAATGACATTTGTAGGAGTGCGATGAGACGAACCTTTGTTGGATTTGAAGCTGGAGCACACGCGATCGTACACGTGCAGTTCGTTCTGCAGGGAGTGGATGAGGTCTCTGCTCTCACACAACTGCTGCTGCAGGAGAGACGCCTCATGCTGCGCTCTGCGGACGCACACATGACAGTTAGGACGGAAAAAAAAAAAAAAAAGCACAGGACGGATAGATTTTCCTCAAAGCATTTCGGCCGAACAGACCTGTTGATTCTCTCCTGACCGGCTTGCCTCAAGGCGAGAATCTGCTGTCCCTGCTCCTCACTGTGTGTCTGAAGTCGTCTCAACTCCTCCTTCCACTGCTCAGCTTCCAGTTCGGCTTGCTTGAGGCGGGCGCGTGCTTCGATCAGCTCCTCGCACGAGTCTGAGCAACAACAAACAACAACAACAACAAAAAGAACGCCTTCACTGCAGGTCCAAGCAAAAACAATATAATGGCGCCTTACCTGTGCTGGCCTGTAGACGGGACTGCAGATTCAAGTTCTCGTCTGTCAGGACTCGGATTTCATTCGACAGATGTGTGACTGTGTCCAACCCTTGAATGTAGATGTTTGTAGCTGCTCCTGAGCAATACAACAGTAACAGATGAAGGAACACTTAGAATAGGCATCTTCAACATTATATAAGGTGTGTTTTCAGATAAAAACACACAGGTGAGTGCAACCAGGTGATATTTTCCTTCTATTGAGATAATTATGAATGACGCCTTTTACAGTGCCTTTTGTTTTACACAAGATGTCCTCAAAGATGATCATAAGAGCATGAATGTGTGAATATTCAGAAAACGGTATTCTAGCAAATTTGTGGGTTCAAATTCTTACTAGCGATCTTAGTTATTGTTGCGCCCACAGGAAGTCTACCGACCAATTTGCTGGGGACATTTTGCATAAGGCCTATTGAAACGTGGTGAACTGACATGAGAGCTATACTACCTCCGTCACGCCCAGTGTTTGCTAATTTTTCCTCCAGCTGCTGTCGGCGCCTTTCGTTGGTCCGAATGGACTCTTCCAGACGCTGGCGAAGACATCGCACCTCCCGTAGGTGCTCTTCAATTAAATTGGGCCCTGAAAATAAAACAATAAAAAAAAGTAACAGTTACGTTGAATATATGCTATTTCAATGGTAAATCATTTTTAGGATGCTACTGACTCATGCAGGAAGCTTGAGAGACAAAGTCGACAAGTTTACCTGTCTGGTTGTTTTCTAGGAAAGGTCCAGGGATTCCATCCTCCTTCCACTGCTCAGCTTCCAGTTCGGCTTGCTTGAGGCGGGCGCGTGCTTCGATCAGCTCCTCGCACGAGTCTGAGCAACAACAAACAACAAACAACAACAACAACAAAAAGAACGCCTTCACTGCAGGTCCAAGCAAAAACAATATAATGGCGCCTTACCTGTGCTGGCCTGTAGACGGGACTGCAGATTCAAGTTCTCGTCTGTCAGGACTCGGATTTCATTCGACAGATGTGTGACTGTGTCCAACCCTTGAATGTAGATGTTTGTAGCTGCTCCTGAGCAATACAACAGTAACAGATGAAGGAACACTTAGAATAGGCATCTTCAACATTATATAAGGTGTGTTTTCAGATAAAAACACACAGGTGAGTGCAACCAGGTGATATTTTCCTTCTATTGAGATAATTATGAATGACGCCTTTTACAGTGCCTTTTGTTTTACACAAGATGTCCTCAAAGATGACCATAAGAGCATGAATGTGTGAATATTCAGAAAACTGTATTCTAGCAAGTTTGTGGGTTCAAATTATTACTAATGATCTTAGTTATTGTTGCGCCCACAGGAAGCCCACCGACCATTTTGCTGGGGACATTTTGCATAAAGCCTATCGAAACGTGGTGAACTGACATTAGAGCTATACTACCTCCGTCACGCCCAGTGTTTGCTAATTTTTCCTCCAGCTGCTGTCGGAGCCTTTCGTTGGTCCGAATGGACTCTTCCAGACGCTGGCGAAGACATCGCACCTCCCGTAGGTGCTCTTCAATTAAATTGGGCCCTGAAAATAAAACAATAAAAAAAAGTAACAGTTACGTTGAATATATGCTATTTCAATGGTAAATCATTTTTAGGATGCTACTGACTCATGCAGGAAGCTTGAGAGACAAAGTCGACAAGTTTACCTGTCTGGTTGTTTTCTAGGAAAGGTCCAGGGATTCCAGGAGAGTCCCCCATAGGCTGAGTCATGTTGCTCATGTCCCAAAAAGTCCCTCCACCTGTTACCATACCCGAGCCCGACTTAAGTGAGTGACCCTCGGGAATGCCGCCCAGCTGGTACTGCGGAAAGGCATGATGAGGTAGGTGGCTGTAGCCTGAGAGGTCGCACTGGTTTTGAGGACCGGCTGAGAGAGAAAAAAGAGGCTTGACATGAGGATCCGGGAACCCTGTAAACACATAGACGTTATGAACAAATGTGTGAAATATGAGAGCAAAAGAGTGTGACACAAACTCCCAGCATCCCCTCACCCCTTTTCTGCTCATTCATCTGTTTATACAGTGTGTCCAGTTCTGGGTGAACAGCCATCACGGACAGGGCCCTACGGCGGGTGTCATATGTGACCTCTGTACCTCGGACATCAGGGTCACGAAGGGGAGGGAGGGACGAAGAGAAGGGAATACTGAGAGGGGCTGGTGGAGAATGAAAGGGAGTCAAGAGACAGAAAAGAAACCAGCGGGGGGGAGGTTTCCAAGCCTTGAGTCATGAATCCTCTACCTTTCAAGGACGGAGCGGTTAAACACCCAGAAGCTGAGAAAAGCATTCCGGGACAGCTGAAAGACGATTGGAGGGGTCCACGAGAAGGAGGAGGGATCGATGAATGGGCTAAAAGACGGTGATGGAAGATGAAGGACAGAACAGAGAGGCAAAAAAAAGAAGAAAAATAGCAGAATGATAGAAGGTCTAGTTACCATCTTGTTCGGATTGTTGCTGCTCTTCCTGGTCCTGATAGTCTCTGGCGTCTAACTCGGAGCACAGATCCAGGTCTTCGTTGGTTTGACACTCATCGGACACCAAGGAAGTCCTGTCTGACGGGTCGGTGGTCTCCGAGAGGGCTTGGCAGCTGGATGGCGTCTCAGGGCGATGCTGCAGCTTGTTGTGCAGAGACTCGATGATTTGGTCTTTCTGCTGAAGCTCCTTGCTAAGCCTGCAGGGGAAAGTGTTGGGAATGACGTTAGAAAGCCTGAGAAAAACAGATGTAAAATGTATTTCATGTTCATTACAACATTATAAACACAACAAAACAGGAACAACAAACAAAATAAAACTACAGAAAGGCATTCATTCGTGTACACTTGAAACTGCAAATGAGTGTTTTCTATTTTCATCCTATTCCTTCCTTACTGTTTGAGTTGTTGATGCAGCATCCTAAGAAGGCATATCTCTCTGGATCGACCTCGGACATCGTTCACCGAAAAAGACCACAGAGAGTCTCTGTATATTGGACAGCTCTTAGAAATCAGTGATTTCCACAGCGGAGCCATTTGAGTCTCAGTAAAGTCCAAAAGGAGAAAAAAAAAATACGTTGATAGTGTCTGCCACTGCTATTTAATGCCAGATACCGTCAAGCGACCAAGACAAAGAAAAGTACACATGAAAACAAACAATCCAAAAAAAAAAAAACCCTACAAATGTTACTACGAGACGGGAAAGATTCCTCTCTGCAGCAGCACTGACCCGCTTAACAGCAGCTGTTGGGATGTCTTTACAGCTAAATCATCTTAAGAGTAAAGGATCCCCTCTACCTACTTGGGTGTGGATTAACGGCGACCATCTGTCTCCTTTCTAGCCCTTCGCATGTTACATCATCTATCTATATTTCTCTCTCTCTCTCTCTATCTATCCATCAATAAATCAGCTGTTTTAGGGTGATAGGAGAAGGATAGGGACCAAGCCATGTCACAAACAACGAAAAACTGCAAGTACAGTAATTGATCTCAGAATATTCAAATGTCCTCTATCAAAAGTTTTACTCATAGATAAACCAAGAAATATGATCCCCAAAACACTTCATTATCATTTCCAATTCGTCTTCCAACATTACTCTTGAAAATTGGAAAGATTTGATGAAAAGGAAAGGAAAAAAAAAACATCCACACAGGAAGTACACACGCAACTGAGCTGCGGCGCCATCTTGTGGTGCCGTTTCAGAATGCGCACAAAATCCCCCAAAAGGTTTTTTTAACAGGTACGTAAAAAACGAAAAGACATGACTAAGACAATTTAAGGTTAACTTATATACTTAAATAATTACTGTAGTGGTTTTTGTCGAGAGGACAACCAAAACAGAGACATCCAGTGTGAGTGAAATTGGTGCGAATTTTACATTTGGGGCTTGTTCCCAAAGGCCTTGCAATCTTTTTTTTAACGAGAAATTTCTGAGGATTTTCTTGCTCACGCTCGCTGTCCTTTTTGTACTTTGAGGAGGTAAAGCCAGTTGCAGGTAAACAAAAGAGTCACTGGAGTATGCACTGGCCTTGTGTGTAGGCTAAACATGAATTGTGCCAGCAAGACAAAGGCGTGCCTCAGTTTTTTTTTTTTTTGGGGCCCAATATTATTCAATCCAATAGTGTGCTTAATCCTTAGTGTGTCATGACAGATCAGCAGGTACTCTGTAGGACATTATCCAATTGCATATAATTGTCCCAAAAATTATTTCATTTAAAAAAAATGTATTTTTGTTTATCTATACCAGAGAAGATTAAGGTGACTCACTGCATGGCCAGCAACTCGTGGCCTGTCTTGTCAACGGGGCTCTCCACTCCTGAATCGGGAAAGACACACGAGGGGATTTGGCATAAAATGCATGGAATGACAACAACGCAGCGGCTGGGGGAGACGTGAGGGTGAGCCTTACGTCCAGTGAGCTTGATGAGCAGTCTCTGAGCTAGCGCGGTGCTTTGTGAAAGCTGCTCTCGAAAGCTCTGCCCCATGTAGTAGTCAACATCGTTGGCCCGCAGCAGCTCCTCAAAAGCCTGAGGGGGGAGAAAAATTTGCAACGGAAAGTCTGACAAGAGATCCGTGTTACCGCAAAGGGACTTTCCAGGCACCTTGGTGGTGTCACCCAGATGCTGGGTGAGGATATGGGAGACTCCTTCACCCTCTCTCATCCGCTGCCTCAGGTGGGAGAGCTCACGAGCTTGGGCCTGGATGAGAGAGTTGTACTTTCTGCACAAAAAGGAGGAGGTGAAGAGGCCGGAGGGGACACAAGAAAGCAGAATATTAGATAATATTATACCTGGATGTTTTCTGTTGATAAGGAGTTGTTGACAACTTTCATTGTCAAAGTTGTGAAGGCTGAATGAACATTTTTTTGGAAACCCATATTGCTGTACCACATACAGGGATACAGTCCCTTTAGATAAATACAGATAACCAACTAGTCTGATGATTGGTTCATAGAACAGTAATAAAAATGTCTTATTCGTACATCCATTTTTTTTAGAGTAATAGCGACTTGAATTCTGCTATGAATAGCCAAAAAGCGCAAGTAATTGACCTCCGCTTAAAAATGTTAATCGTGGAAATATCTCTCAGTCAAACACACAAATACAAAATGAAAACACCCATAAGGAGCATAGAGTAAATGCTGACCACTGAATTAACCAAGTCGCAAATGGCCAATGACTGCACCTCCTGACGTAACTCACCAGGCCATGCCCCTCAAATGCACACGTCAACACAAAAATGTGTGTGACTTCTGGAAGAAATACATTTTAGGAGCTGTTGAGCTAAATAGATTTGGCGCCATCTTGTGGCATTTAGGGTAATTTCAGAAAGCGCCCAAAAAAAAAAAAAAACGACGAGAGCGTACTGCTTTATCCTGTTCAAGGTGGCAGGAAGCCTGACCCTATGTGAACTGTATTGTTTGGTAGAAATGTCTGATGCCGCACCCAGGCCATGTGGCACATTTCCCCTGCTCTGCTTCGCACTTCCCCTCCAACTTGGAGCTGCTCAATTGGGCCTCCAAGGTTGCCACTCGTGCCATCAGCTCCTGCAGCTCGCGACTGGGTTTGGACGCAGGTGAAGTCGCCTGGGTGTCGGACACCCAGCCTTCATCTTCCTCCACGCCCTCTTGGGCGGGTGACATCTCGAAGGCCCAGTTTACCTGCAAAACACAACGTAAAAGGTGAGGGATCGTCTTCGGGTGAATAGAAGGGCCAAACTGATTTAGCGATACCTTGCGTGGCGTCCGCTCAAGGCTCGAGGCATAGTCACTTGTGGCCGACAGGGAGCGAACACGCATCTGAAGCCCGCGGATTACTTTGTGGCAGCGGGTTAGCTGGGAGCGCAGATCCTGGACCAGGTGATGCAAAGCTGATTCATCCCCGGTTCCGTCGGACGCACCTCCGTTACGCCCGGTTCTACTGGCCTTGTACCAGTCCCCTCCCACGCTATCCTCCTGCTGATGAGACAGCGACGTGCACATCTCGAGGTCATCAAACTCTGAGGAAGAGAAAAGATCTCTCATTAATGAAAGCAATACATAAAGAAACAGAAAATCTGTGTGTGGTTATATCTTTGCATTTTTGTTGGGCAAACAAAAAAACAAAAAAGTGACAACTGAATCTTTCAGTAGCGTGCGAGAACATTTCAGGTGTGTGCGCGCGAAAAAAATTTCAGTATTAGTAAAGTGTTTGAGAGTGTTTCAAAAGTATACCTGTGAGCATTTCAGCAGTGTGCGAGTGCATTTAAGTGGCGTGTGAGAGCATCACCTGGGCTGCTGGCATCGTCCCTCTCAGCTTCATTTTCACTGCGTCCACAAGTCTCATAGCCCAAATCCTGTAGATCCACTTGCACCTGCTTACTGGCCTGCTGCACAGACGTCTCCGCTGCAGAAACGTCAAACCGTCAGACTCTGCGCACGAATCATTTCAACCTTGCCGTGTTCCCATGATGATGATGATGACCACACTCACTGAGCAGGTCCCTGTAGTCCTTCAGCTGCTCGGCCTGAGCGTGAACGGTGGCTTCAGACACCATCAGCCTCTCCTGCAGTTCTCGGTTCTCCGAACAAAGCCGGGCCGAATGCTCACTCAGACCCTGGACCAAACATGCATATTTTTGGAATGTGAAGGGGGTAGTCCAGGAAGTCCCGAGCCGAGATTCAAACCCAGAACCTCAATAAGGCAGACGTGTTATTTAGCAAGCTGTCCTTTTCCCCAACTAATACCAATAAGTTCCAATGTACTCCGAGACTACAATATGATAGAACAGGTCTTTATTAGTAACCAATTTTGGGACATGATCTAAGGAGGAAAAACGAGGGCACAAACATACAGGACATTATTTTACCTTGACAGGCACGGAAGATGTAGCCCCCCGTTCATCATCTTCCATGTAGTCCTCCTCCTCAGTATCATCCTCCTCCTCACCCTGGTCAAGACTCCTGTGGTCTGTCCCCACTCCCTGATGTTCTTTTAGGAACTGGTTCTCCTTCCGAAGCCTCTGCAGTGTGCTCCTTTGAGCAAACAAGACCACAACGTTGCCATCAAATGGAGAAGGAAAAAACAACGGAAATTGCCACTGGGACAAATACGCACCTCATCTGGGTCACCGAGGTGAATCCCTCCCGCTCAAGCTGTGACTGTATTTCTTTTAGCTCCAGTTCAACGGTCTGCGTGCGAGTCCTCAGGAATGCAGACTCTCCTTCATGTCCACGGGCCGTTTGAGGCTACACAAACACGTTTGATTGTTAGTGGCGTCACAGTCGTGGTGTTGAAACGAGTATACGCGGGTATGGAAGAGAAAATCCAACCTCGGTGAAAGGCAAACTCGCAGGTGTAACTTTCTCGTCGTCCTCTATGCTGTCGGTGAACTCGTCGCTGCTGCCGTCTTCATCATCCCCCTCGTCCTCTTCAGTGCTGACATCTGGAAACACACCAACCGCATTTAGACATGGTCCACTTGTGCAGTTCCTATTAGTTGATATCCACAGTCACTCCCGTTCCTCTTATTTCTGCATTTTTTACATCTTTTCCTAGTCAGTCTTTTTTTTTCTCTTTTTTATCTCGACTAACAGAGCTCCACTCTGACGTGGAGTCACAGGGCTGAGGGGAAATGTTATGTCATCTCTTTCCAGCGGGCCAAAAAACACACACAGGGTGGAGCAAACCAACTGGTGGAGTGTGTTACTGAAAACCAAGGGGAGGTTCTAAACAGTTTTGGAAGAAATATGGAGTCATAGATTATATATAAGCACTAAAAATAGAGTCTGTTTGGACTGGTCTGGACAATGGCGGACATTTGGAGTTGGTTACTGTCAGTGAAGAAGTTGTTTGCCGCTATACTCATTGGCAGAATCTAATGAAATTCAATGTAGGCGCTGTATTAAAATGGATGCTTTTACTAAAGTAGTAACGTTCAGCTTTTATTTATTGTCGTTGGTGGAACGCAACTGCATACTGTTATCTTGGCTAAATAAGGTAATTGGAATATTAAGAACGACTCAGGATGATGCAGTGCACTTTAACACCACAAAATGTTGTATATTAAATGAATACCTGTGTTTTGTAATCTTGGAAGTGATTGTCTACTGTCAGCATTAAATGGCACCATAGAAAAGGGATGTATGTATGGGGTCTTACATTTTCTGGTTCGTTGATTTTGTGCACTTTAAGAGGAGGGTCTACTTGTGCTGGGAATTTATAGACTGAGGAACTGTATTTCTTGACATTTTTTTTTTTTAGCTTTGGCACACTTAACCAGTGACCGTCAGTGTTACAACTTGGTTCATCTGGTGTTTTATACTGGGGTGTTTGGGGACTCACAGTCATGCAGACATGGAATGCATGCCACACTCACACAGGTGAGAAATAAAGAAACACATTTAAAGGGACAATCTCATGTCATGTATGTTTACATTTAAACAATCAACTGCTTGTTGAGGGTATTGGAATTGGTCCCCTCATCCCCTAGCGTTGTTCTGGGGCAGAGATTGTGGTTCCATACTAGATAAAAATCAGGGATTTCAGGGTTGGGATCTTCTCAATGTCCTCCCAACAAACACAAGAAAAAGATATCCATAAAGAGAAGAACTTCTCTTCAACAGAGAAAAACAGCATGTGTTTATTTAATTGCATTTCAAATACAAAAAGTATTGACAAAGAATGCCTGAGGTGAGATAAGAGCTTCCAGGATGAATTTAACAGGAAATAGAACATGTAGCAAAAGCTTACCAATAGCACTGTACAAGTTTTCCACCATCTCATCTAATAGAGCTGAGCTGACGTCTCTTGCCTATTTGGACGATCAAGGAGCAAGAGCAAAGTTCCTCGGAAACCTAAAGGCTGCCACGCATCGAGCGACACAACTGAACAATTGCGAACCAAACGGTTGGTGACTCTCCCGACGCAGCGCCGAGCGCAAAACTGCTTCCTTTTCAGGAAACGTTTTGAGGCGCCACGTATCTCGTACTGTTTTATTTTATCGTGACAAGTTTGTGGAGGCAGAAGTGGATTGGACTGGCCAACGTAGTTTTAGTATAACAATAGAAAGAGAGCAGACCAGAAAAAGTGTCAATATTTGCAAGGCTACTGATATATATGGTAGCGCCACCAACTGTACTTGTGCTTTTAGGTCACAGAGACTCTCCAAGCTTGATTTTTAGCACGGGCACATTTGAAATGCTACATTTTGTTACGTACTACAGTATTGTAAAACTATAGTTTGCATACTGTATTTAGTGTTTTGGCACGGATTAGCGGTGGCTGGCTGGATGTGGTTTCCCACCCGGTAATATTTTGTAAAAGCGCATGCAATAGAACAGCCGCATTTCAATCAGCTGTCCTATTTGCATCCAAGCGTTTGAATCGCAGCACAACTAGTTGTTGATAGTCGGCCACTCATGATAACTAGTCATTCAACTGTGCACACCCTCCTACTGTTCAGTTATGTTGCTCTGTGTGTGAAAAAAAAATCTAAAGCTGACTACAGAAGCTTGGGAACTCTTTTTGGAGGGATTTGCAGATAACATGATGACGTCAAGCAAATAATGGATGGCAAGATGTTGCACTGTATGTACTTTGTATAAGGCATGGGCTTCCGTTTCTCCACAAGGCTCGAAGAAAACGTAACTGCGGCTCTAAGGCTGGAAAAGTAACATCAGTGAGAGACGGCACAAGGAAATGGCAAAACAGAACAGTTAGCACTGACAAGCAAAAAAAAAAAAAAAAAAATGCAAGCAGTTTTTTGAAACCAAATAGAACATTCACAACACCATTAAGTATATTAATAAACATGACTCCATTGAGGTTAGTCTTCTTTGATTATGTTGCATCTGGATGAGGTTAGGTGTTTCTATCTATGAGCACAAACTTTTTTTTAGGAATAAGCTTTCATCAGCATGTTGAGGCCACACCAAACATCACACATCATTTGTCACAGTGGCCCCTGCAGACCCAGAGGCTTGAGTCTGACTGTTCCCACCTCCTAAGTCACGCTGCCTTTTGGTGGCCCTTTCCAGGTCCAGGGCCATGTTCTGAATCCGGGTCAGGACCTCCTCCAGTTGCCCGCGGAGTGCCTGAACCGAGTCCAGCTGAGTGTGGAGGGCCAAGACCTTGTCGGAGCTGTTGAGTGGAAAGCAGAGTTGTCTACGTACAATCGCAGATATATCTGCACAATCTGTCGAGTGATATCCATTGCAAGAGCTACGTTCATAAATCCTGCCTTCATGGAGAGAACACTGGTCAACAGTGAATTTTAATCAGAGATGGCTTTGTGAGTTCCTAAATGTATTTTTGCCGGTGATTTAAAAAATGTATTCAGTTATTTTGAGCATAAGGTTTTTAAGATAATTTCATTTTTTTGTTTGACCTTCAAAAGCCAGCACAATACGGACCCACGGTATGTCTAAATCAAGCTTCTCCCGTCACTTCAACATAGTTCCTCATCAATAAGATGTTACATGATGGTGGCTAAGCAGTACCTGCATAAATCTGAATATGTGGGGAAAAAACTATATGGTTATTCTAGTTGTAGTTTACAATTTAACAAAAACTGCTAATATTTTGCTTAACTTATTTAGCTGAAGGGGAGTGAGAGCAGTCCAGGTTCCTGGCTATGCAAACTACTTGTAAACCACAACAATAATTATACTGTAACAACTGAGCACTATAGGACAGAATTTTGGATTCCATGTGCAAATGTCCTTGATATTGTGCCTGCAAGGTATCCACTGCCTACCTGTCGCTATTGGTGTGAATGAGATTCTGGTATAATCTCTTTTCGGTCCTCAGGGCACCATTCAGCTGACGGTACTCCAAGACAAGCTGCTCCAGCACATGCTAATTTGTTTCAGATAAAACAAAATGAGATTTAAGGTGATTTTTGAGCAAATCTCTGGTCACATATCCCGTAAATGAAGCAGCAATACACCTCGGTACTTGCTGTTGCTGCTCCCTTTGCTTGCTGGGCAGCCAAAGATGAACGCAGAGCAGACAGTTCTTTCTGCAAGGATTGGATAACAATGGGTTAGCATCAACACAGACAAAAGAAAAACGCATTTCCACATGTACCTGGGCTTCCCTCTCCTTCTTAAGCATTAACTGCAGCTCTTCCTGAAGAGCCTTCATGTCTTCTTCACTTTCTGGAGACGGCTGCATCATGACTTCCTCTTGGTTCTGCATCATCTCCTGATCAATCAAAATCAACAGTAAATACTTTGCGCAAGGGACACAAAGACAAAGAGATGAAAGTGGTACCTTAAAAAAGGCTTCTTTCTCTCGGAGAAGACCTTGCAGGTGCTGCACGTCTCCGCCCGTCTCCCTCTCTTTGTCCCGCCTCAGCTCGCACAGCTCCTGCTCTCTCTTCGACAGCTGCCTGCGCACCTCCTGCAGCTGACCTGTGCGCTCGCTTATAACCAAGGACAGCCTGTACGAATTGTCCTGAGATGGATACAGAGTGATATTCATTAAAATGCACCAGTGTGGAACTAAACGGCGCGCGCACACACACACTAATCACATTGAATGAGATTGAATATACATTAGTAGACACAGAAAGTTAGAGATAGATTTCCTTCACTACTTTCATATGTTATTTTTTCCCTTTTTCTAAGTATGTCACTTTCATGCCTTTCTGTGACTCTTCCAGTCCCCGTTGCTACTGTTATGAAACATTCCACATTTGACACTGTAGAATTGATTTCAGTTTTGTTTTGTTTTTCCATACTTTTAATAGCGGATTGCAACTGTTGGTTGAATTAGAACACATCAGAAATGCCTCCAATCTCATACCTGCAGGTACTGGTCTTTGACACTGAGGGTGTTGAGCAGGTCTGACACCCGTGTTTGGTGTTCACTTGATTGGCGGCTGCGGTCTGACAGCAGGTCCTGAAAGAGCTTCTCCTTCAGCTGGAGCCGAGCCTTCAGCTCCTCCACCACCTCGGTGGGGCCGGCCTGAACTCTGGCGACCAGGGTCGCCGTCAGATCCTGCACACGCAGGAAACAACATAGGGTGGACTTTCTTCTTAGAGATCTTCGAAGTGTCAGGATAGAAGCCGCAAAATAAATCCATGTGTTTGTAACCTGTATCTCCTTGCTGCGAGCCTGCAGCGCTGCTTGCAGCTGACCAATGATGGCGTCCTTCTCCCTGAAAATGCTCCTCTCCTTTTCTTCACTCTCCTGTTTCAGCCACTGAAGGTTTCTGTAGGCTTCGGCCGCCTGCTCCAGCTCCAGCTCTTTCCTTTGCACCAGAGCATCGAGACTCTAAAATAAGCACACACTCCAGTTATCGCAAGTGTACACATACTCTAAATGTCAACTCAACCTTGCAACTTCAAGTGTACCGTGATGGTCTCCTCGTTGTTAGACAGGATGCAGCGGAGCCTGTCCAGGTCTCGGTCTTTTTCCCGTAGCGCCAGCTGCAGTGTCCTCACTTGACCCTCGCGTTCATCCAGGCAGCGGAACTTGTCATCGATGGTGCGCTGCGGGAAGCAGAGGGAGGACCTTACGTAGGAATTTTCAATGTAACACACACCTCATACTAGGTCAAAATCAGCTATATATTTTTTTTTTTTTAATAAATACAGCGAGCCCCTGCCTATTCGCAAATTGAACTCTGCATTTTTTTCTGTGCAACGTCTCTCCGCTTATTTGCAGTTTTTGTGCTCTTTGTATAATGCCGCAAGATTCCAGAGAATGGAGACAGAACCCTCACGAATGGGAAAACAGAAATTGGTGTCAAAAAAAGCATGTCAAGTTTCAAGCAGATTAAAATAATTATCAAAAATTCAAGCATCTTCAAGAATCTTTGAAGATTAGGTAGCGGTATGCAGGGACTAGTACAAATGTTGATATTAATCTTTACACGAGGTTATATATTTAGAGATATTGTTAAATGGCGTGTAAAAATAATACAGATTTATCTTCCCTTGTAAGAGACGTATTCAGTCTGTTTGCATACTACCTCCAAAGCTCTGTCTCTGTCTTTAATTCTCTCTCTTAATTTCTCTAGAAGTGCATCTCTTGGTTTGGAACTTTCTGGTGTCTCGAACATTTGTGAGTACTCCTAAAAGAAATGAGTAAAGACAAGTTTGCTAAGCTGCAGATTTATATACGCTACCCATCATGCAAGTGTGAGGGGGGTGACCTGTAACTGTCGCTCCTTCTCCCGCAGAGAGTGATTGAGCTGTGCGATGCTTCTGTCTTTTTCTTGCGCCACGGAGAGCCTCTCGGCCTCGACTTCCTTCAGAGCTTCTTCCTTAGCCCTGAGCTCGGCGCGAGTTTTCTGAAGTGTGCAACGCAGGTCCTGCAGCAAAGAGTACAGATCTTCATTCAGGCCTGTGGAATCGCACGTACTGCACATCCTTGCGCCGCTTTTAAATAGCCACAAACCTGATTGTGTTTTTCAGTCTCTTCCCTATGCTGCAGCGCGTCCTGAAGGTCAGCATTCAGTCTGTCTTTGAAGCGGGCCAGATCGTCACCTTGTCTCTGACTCTGCCTGAGACTCCTCTGGCTGGCCTCCAGCTCCAGGCCCAAAGAGAACAGGGAGCTTTGCACTCCCACCAGCTCCCCTTGCAGCTGGGAAAGCGTCACAGACTCACTGACCCCCTCTGGAGCCTAAAGAGAGAATAACCACTTAGCAACCTGTTACTGTGCTCTCTCCGGGAACTACCGTCATTTCTTCAGGCGTCTAATTAGGCTACAATGGCTTGTGGTTATAAAGACACCTGTTGCACTTGACAGGCTTTTATTTTTGGATGGCTCTTGAATTATGGTTAGAGGTAAGAGGGATGGCCCGTTGTTCCTTTTGCATGCTCTTGAAAGGCTTTTTCAAACAGGAATCTGACTACGTCGACAGTGAAGATTTTTTTTTTTACTGTGTGTAGGGAATCTAAATAATCTATGAATTTCTCTTTTTGAGTTAAACTACTGAATGGCCGATCTGTTTGTTGTCTGCCACCTTGAAGGACATCAGTTGATTCACCCAACATAATAAACATCTGACCTTGCTTTGTGCGAGTTGATTACGGTGGGCCATCTCTCGGAGCTTGTTTAATGTGACGTTTTGCCCCTCGATCAGCTGATACAACTTCTGGGCCTTGAGGTAGAATTTATATTGATTAAGAGTGCTCACATAAATCAAATCCATTTTGTTTCAAGAGCGCTCACCTCACTGTCTTTGGTGCCGATCGATTCCGTGAGGTCTTGGATGGTTCTCTCCTGACTCTGAGCAGCCTGGCGGAGGGAACGAAGCTCGCACTCCATCTCATTCAGCTTCTCCTGTAGCCTCTATGTGTGAATGCAGATGTCACAGTCAGTCTCAGCCTCCTGTCAGTCATATTCCTCTGAATTTGTCTTACCATATTGTTGGAATCACTCTCGTGGATTTTGGCCTGCAGGGACTGGACCTGGAGTTGGGCCTTCTGCAGCTCGCTGACACACTGGCCCGCTGCACACTCGTATTGGTTCAGCTGGCTTTGCTGCTCCTCGACAAGGTTCTGCAACACAAAGAGGGAGGGAGAAGAGAGTCAGGTTTAAAATCTGTAGCCCAAATACTTCATATATACAAAAGTACTGAGACAGCTTCCAATAGCTTTCAGCAGCGGGTCCGGGGCAATATTTGCTCACTAATATCAGACGTCTGGGTTATGGTCTAATCTGAGTAATACATTGACTAACAATACTGTCAGTCAATAACGCTGCATGTTGTAGTCAGGACTGACATTGAAATGAAAAAAGAAAAAAAGCAGGACCGCAAAAAGCATTGTCGCCGTATTGCGTAATGGTGGTTCTCCATTAAAAAGTCTGCTCATTCATGTGATCATTTGGAAAAAGGCTCTTGCGTAGGACTTTGCCTTTACTACATGCGTGAGTTAGCCTGACTGTACCCAAAGTGCTCTGTACAGCTATTATGTTTACATAACCCACATGTGCACTCCACTAGACGGTTGCATCAGTCCTGTGTGATTTATACTATCAGGCAAGATGAGGATTTTAAAAACAATTTAGGTCGTTATTGCAATTTCAAATGGAAGTGCTGAATTGGTGAGATGTTGTGGTTTTGTAACATTGGGTGGAAGGCTTTGCCTGAAGGGAAGTGGGTGAAATCAGGCCAACAGTACAGCCACTGTCTTCACCATCTCCCCTCTCATAACCTACTTATGTCAGCAGCTCTTATGTTTATTGTAGAGGGCCAACGTACAGAAAGCCTAACAAAGATAACGCTCAGGATTACTAATTCGTCACAACTGAATTTTTGATGCGGCCTTTAGAGACATATTGGATAGAGAAATGGGGATATTAAAGTCTACTTTTCAGTTTCACATAGGAAAACAATCCTGTGCCTTAAAATGACAATGACCTTTGTGATTGCATGCCAACACAGATATACACACATTAAGCAAGTAGGCCATGCCGTGGCTGGAAGCTTACCGACGGCTAATTCAATGTATTCTTTCACTGAGACACAAACCACAATGGCAGACATCCTCTGCCTGCCTGCTGTGTGAGCTGGATACAGCGACTGACACATTTGTGTGGCTAATTCTGCAACAATGTTAATTGGCAGTCATTACAGAGCACCAAATGATGATGACCACACTCACTGAGCAGGTCCCTGTAGTCCTTCAGCTGCTCGGCCTGAGCGTGAACGGTGGCTTCAGACACCATCAGCCTCTCCTGCAGTTCTCGGTTCTCCGAACAAAGCCGGGCCGAATGCTCACTCAGACCCTGGACCAAACATGCATATTTTTGGAATGTGAAGGGGGTAGTCCAGGAAGTCCCGAGCCGAGATTCAAACCCAGAACCTCAATAAGGCAGACGTGTTATTTAGCAAGCTGTCCTTTTCCCCAACTAATACCAATAAGTTCCAATGTACTCCGAGACTACAATATGATAGAACAGGTCTTTATTAGTAACCAATTTTGGGACATGATCTAAGGAGGAAAAACGAGGGCACAAACATACAGGACATTATTTTACCTTGACAGGCACGGAAGATGTAGCCCCCCGTTCATCATCTTCCATGTAGTCCTCCTCCTCAGTATCATCCTCCTCCTCACCCTGGTCAAGACTCCTGTGGTCTGTCCCCACTCCCTGATGTTCTTTTAGGAACTGGTTCTCCTTCCGAAGCCTCTGCAGTGTGCTCCTTTGAGCAAACAAGACCACAACGTTGCCATCAAATGGAGAAGGAAAAAACAACGGAAACTGCCACTGGGACAAACACGCACCTCATCTGGGTCACCGAGGTGAATCCCTCCCGCTCAAGCTGTGACTGTATTTCTTTTAGCTCCAGTTCAACGGTCTGCGTGCGAGTCCTCAGGAATGCAGACTCTCCTTCATGTCCACGGGCCGTTTGAGGCTACACAAACACGTTTGATTGTTAGTGGTGTTACAGTCGTGGTGTTGAAACGAGTATACGCGGGTATGGAAGAGAAAATCCAACCTCGGTGAAAGGCAAACTCGCAGGTGTAACTTTCTCGTCGTCCTCTATGCTGTCGGTGAACTCGTCGCTGCTGCCGTCTTCATCATCCCCCTCGTCCTCTTCAGTGCTGACATCTGGAAACACACCAACCGCATTTAGACATGGTCCACTTGTGCAGTTCCTATTAGTTGATATCCACAGTCACTCCCGTTCCTCTTATTTCTGCATTTTTTACATCTTTTCCTAGTCAGTCTTTTTTTTTCTCTTTTTTATCTCGACTAACAGAGCTCCACTCTGACGTGGAGTCACAGGGCTGAGGGGAAATGTTATGTCATCTCTTTCCAGCGGGCCAAAAAACACACACAGGGTGGAGCAAACCAACTGGTGGAGTGTGTTACTGAAAACCAAGGGGAGGTTCTAAACAGTTTTGGAAGAAATATGGAGTCATAGATTATATATAAGCACTAAAAATAGAGTCTGTTTGGACTGGTCTGGACAATGGCGGACATTTGGAGTTGGTTACTGTCAGTGAAGAAGTTGTTTGCCGCTATACTCATTGGCAGAATCTAATGAAATTCAATGTAGGCGCTGTATTAAAATGGATGCTTTTACTAAAGTAGTAACGTTCAGCTTTTATTTATTGTCGTTGGTGGAACGCAACTGCATACTGTTATCTTGGCTAAATAAGGTAATTGGAATATTAAGAACGACTCAGGATGATGCAGTGCACTTTAACACCACAAAATGTTGTATATTAAATGAATACCTGTGTTTTGTAATCTTGGAAGTGATTGTCTACTGTCAGCATTAAATGGCACCATAGAAAAGGGATGTATGTATGGGGTCTTACATTTTCTGGTTCGTTGATTTTGTGCACTTTAAGAGGAGGGTCTACTTGTGCTGGGAATTTATAGACTGAGGAACTGTATTTCTTGACATTTTTTTTTTTTAGCTTTGGCACACTTAACCAGTGACCGTCAGTGTTACAACTTGGTTCATCTGGTGTTTTATACTGGGGTGTTTGGGGACTCACAGTCATGCAGACATGGAATGCATGCCACACTCACACAGGTGAGAAATAAAGAAACACATTTAAAGGGACAATCTCATGTCATGTATGTTTACATTTAAACAATCAACTGCTTGTTGAGGGTATTGGAATTGGTCCCCTCATCCCCTAGCGTTGTTCTGGGGCAGAGATTGTGGTTCCATACTAGATAAAAATCAGGGATTTCAGGGTTGGGATCTTCTCAATGTCCTCCCAACAAACACAAGAAAAAGATATCCATAAAGAGAAGAACTTCTCTTCAACAGAGAAAAACAGCATGTGTTTATTTAATTGCATTTCAAATACAAAAAGTATTGACAAAGAATGCCTGAGGTGAGATAAGAGCTTCCAGGATGAATTTAACAGGAAATAGAACATGTAGCAAAAGCTTACCAATAGCACTGTACAAGTTTTCCACCATCTCATCTAATAGAGCTGAGCTGACGTCTCTTGCCTATTTGGACGATCAAGGAGCAAGAGCAAAGTTCCTCGGAAACCTAAAGGCTGCCACGCATCGAGCGACACAACTGAACAATTGCGAACCAAACGGTTGGTGACTCTCCCGACGCAGCGCCGAGCGCAAAACTGCTTCCTTTTCAGGAAACGTTTTGAGGCGCCACGTATCTCGTACTGTTTTATTTTATCGTGACAAGTTTGTGGAGGCAGAAGTGGATTGGACTGGCCAACGTAGTTTTAGTATAACAATAGAAAGAGAGCAGACCAGAAAAAGTGTCAATATTTGCAAGGCTACTGATATATATGGTAGCGCCACCAACTGTACTTGTGCTTTTAGGTCACAGAGACTCTCCAAGCTTGATTTTTAGCACGGGCACATTTGAAATGCTACATTTTGTTACGTACTACAGTATTGTAAAACTATAGTTTGCATACTGTATTTAGTGTTTTGGCACGGATTAGCGGTGGCTGGCTGGATGTGGTTTCCCACCCGGTAATATTTTGTAAAAGCGCATGCAATAGAACAGCCGCATTTCAATCAGCTGTCCTATTTGCATCCATGCGTTTGAATCGCAGCACAACTAGTTGTTGATAGTCGGCCACTCATGATAACTAGTCATTCAACTGTGCACACCCTCCTACTGTTCAGTTATGTTGCTCTGTGTGTGAAAAAAAAATCTAAAGCTGACTACAGAAGCTTGGGAACTCTTTTTGGAGGGATTTGCAGATAACATGATGACGTCAAGCAAATAATGGATGGCAAGATGTTGCACTGTATGTACTTTGTATAAGGCATGGGCTTCCGTTTCTCCACAAGGCTCGAAGAAAACGTAACTGCGGCTCTAAGGCTGGAAAAGTAACATCAGTGAGAGACGGCACAAGGAAATGGCAAAACAGAACAGTTAGCACTGACAAGCAAAAAAAAAAAAAAAAAAATGCAAGCAGTTTTTTGAAACCAAATAGAACATTCACAACACCATTAAGTATATTAATAAACATGACTCCATTGAGGTTAGTCTTCTTTGATTATGTTGCATCTGGATGAGGTTAGGTGTTTCTATCTATGAGCACAAACTTTTTTTTAGGAATAAGCTTTCATCAGCATGTTGAGGCCACACCAAACATCACACATCATTTGTCACAGTGGCCCCTGCAGACCCAGAGGCTTGAGTCTGACTGTTCCCACCTCCTAAGTCACGCTGCCTTTTGGTGGCCCTTTCCAGGTCCAGGGCCATGTTCTGAATCCGGGTCAGGACCTCCTCCAGTTGCCCGCGGAGTGCCTGAACCGAGTCCAGCTGAGTGTGGAGGGCCAAGACCTTGTCGGAGCTGTTGAGTGGAAAGCAGAGTTGTCTACGTACAATCGCAGATATATCTGCACAATCTGTCGAGTGATATCCATTGCAAGAGCTACGTTCATAAATCCTGCCTTCATGGAGAGAACACTGGTCAACAGTGAATTTTAATCAGAGATGGCTTTGTGAGTTCCTAAATGTATTTTTGCCGGTGATTTAAAAAATGTATTCAGTTATTTTGAGCATAAGGTTTTTAAGATAATTTCATTTTTTTGTTTGACCTTCAAAAGCCAGCACAATACGGACCCACGGTATGTCTAAATCAAGCTTCTCCCGTCACTTCAACATAGTTCCTCATCAATAAGATGTTACATGATGGTGGCTAAGCAGTACCTGCATAAATCTGAATATGTGGGGAAAAAACTATATGGTTATTCTAGTTGTAGTTTACAATTTAACAAAAACTGCTAATATTTTGCTTAACTTATTTAGCTGAAGGGGAGTGAGAGCAGTCCAGGTTCCTGGCTATGCAAACTACTTGTAAACCACAACAATAATTATACTGTAACAACTGAGCACTATAGGACAGAATTTTGGATTCCATGTGCAAATGTCCTTGATATTGTGCCTGCAAGGTATCCACTGCCTACCTGTCGCTATTGGTGTGAATGAGATTCTGGTATAATCTCTTTTCGGTCCTCAGGGCACCATTCAGCTGACGGTACTCCAAGACAAGCTGCTCCAGCACATGCTAATTTGTTTCAGATAAAACAAAATGAGATTTAAGGTGATTTTTGAGCAAATCTCTGGTCACATATCCCGTAAATGAAGCAGCAATACACCTCGGTACTTGCTGTTGCTGCTCCCTTTGCTTGCTGGGCAGCCAAAGATGAACGCAGAGCAGACAGTTCTTTCTGCAAGGATTGGATAACAATGGGTTAGCATCAACACAGACAAAAGAAAAACGCATTTCCACATGTACCTGGGCTTCCCTCTCCTTCTTAAGCATTAACTGCAGCTCTTCCTGAAGAGCCTTCATGTCTTCTTCACTCTCTGGAGACGGCTGCATCATGACTTCCTCTTGGTTCTGCATCATCTCCTGATCAATCAAAATCAACAGTAAATACTTTGCGCAAGGGACACAAAGACAAAGAGATGAAAGTGGTACCTTAAAAAAGGCTTCTTTCTCTCGGAGAAGACCTTGCAGGTGCTGCACGTCTCCGCCCGTCTCCCTCTCTTTGTCCCGCCTCAGCTCGCACAGCTCCTGCTCTCTCTTCGACAGCTGCCTGCGCACCTCCTGCAGCTGACCTGTGCGCTCGCTTATAACCAAGGACAGCCTGTACGAATTGTCCTGAGATGGATACAGAGTGATATTCATTAAAATGCACCAGTGTGGAACTAAACGGCGCGCGCACACACACACTAATCACATTGAATGAGATTGAATATACATTAGTAGACACAGAAAGTTAGAGATAGATTTCCTTCACTACTTTCATATGTTATTTTTTCCCTTTTTCTAAGTATGTCACTTTCATGCCTTTCTGTGACTCTTCCAGTCCCCGTTGCTACTGTTATGAAACATTCCACATTTGACACTGTAGAATTGATTTCAGTTTTGTTTTGTTTTTCCATACTTTTAATAGCGGATTGCAACTGTTGGTTGAATTAGAACACATCAGAAATGCCTCCAATCTCATACCTGCAGGTACTGGTCTTTGACACTGAGGGTGTTGAGCAGGTCTGACACCCGTGTTTGGTGTTCACTTGATTGGCGGCTGCGGTCTGACAGCAGGTCCTGAAAGAGCTTCTCCTTCAGCTGGAGCCGAGCCTTCAGCTCCTCCACCACCTCGGTGGGGCCGGCCTGAACTCTGGCGACCAGGGTCGCCGTCAGATCCTGCACACGCAGGAAACAACATAGGGTGGACTTTCTTCTTAGAGATCTTCGAAGTGTCAGGATAGAAGCCGCAAAATAAATCCATGTGTTTGTAACCTGTATCTCCTTGCTGCGAGCCTGCAGCGCTGCTTGCAGCTGACCAATGATGGCGTCCTTCTCCCTGAAAATGCTCCTCTCCTTTTCTTCACTCTCCTGTTTCAGCCACTGAAGGTTTCTGTAGGCTTCGGCCGCCTGCTCCAGCTCCAGCTCTTTCCTTTGCACCAGAGCATCGAGACTCTAAAATAAGCACACACTCCAGTTATCGCAAGTGTACACATACTCTAAATGTCAACTCAACCTTGCAACTTCAAGTGTACCGTGATGGTCTCCTCGTTGTTAGACAGGATGCAGCGGAGCCTGTCCAGGTCTCGGTCTTTTTCCCGTAGCGCCAGATGCAGGGTCCTCACTTGACCCTCGCGTTCATCCAGGCAGCGGAACTTGTCATCGATGGTGCGCTGCGGGAAGCAGAGGGAGGACCTTACGTAGGAATTTTCAATGTAACACACACCTCATACTAGGTCAAAATCAGCTATATATTTTTTTTTTTTTAATAAATACAGCGAGCCCCTGCCTATTCGCAAATTGAACTCTGCATTTTTTTCTGTGCAACGTCTCTCCGCTTATTTGCAGTTTTTGTGCTCTTTGTATAATGCCGCAAGATTCCAGAGAATGGAGACAGAACCCTCACGAATGGGAAAACAGAAATTGGTGTCAAAAAAAGCATGTCAAGTTTCAAGCAGATTAAAATAATTATCAAAAATTCAAGCATCTTCAAGAATCTTTGAAGATTAGGTAGCGGTATGCAGGGACTAGTACAAATGTTGATATTAATCTTTACACGAGGTTATATATTTAGAGATATTGTTAAATGGCGTGTAAAAATAATACAGATTTATCTTCCCTTGTAAGAGACGTATTCAGTCTGTTTGCATACTACCTCCAAAGCTCTGTCTCTGTCTTTAATTCTCTCTCTTAATTTCTCTAGAAGTGCATCTCTTGGTTTGGAACTTTCTGGTGTCTCGAACATTTGTGAGTACTCCTAAAAGAAATGAGTAAAGACAAGTTTGCTAAGCTGCAGATTTATATACGCTACCCATCATGCAAGTGTGAGGGGGGTGACCTGTAACTGTCGCTCCTTCTCCCGCAGAGAGTGATTGAGCTGTGCGATGCTTCTGTCTTTTTCTTGCGCCACGGAGAGCCTCTCGGCCTCGACTTCCTTCAGAGCTTCTTCCTTAGCCCTGAGCTCGGCGCGAGTTTTCTGAAGTGTGCAACGCAGGTCCTGCAGCAAAGAGTACAGATCTTCATTCAGGCCTGTGGAATCGCACGTACTGCACATCCTTGCGCCGCTTTTAAATAGCCACAAACCTGATTGTGTTTTTCAGTCTCTTCCCTATGCTGCAGCGCCTCCTGAAGGTCAGCATTCAGTCTGTCTTTGAAGCGGGCCAGATCGTCACCTTGTCTCTGACTCTGCCTGAGACTCCTCTGGCTGGCCTCCAGCTCCAGGCCCAAAGAGAACAGGGAGCTTTGCACTCCCACCAGCTCCCCTTGCAGCTGGGAAAGCGTCACAGACTCACTGACCCCCTCTGGAGCCTAAAGAGAGAATAACCACTTAGCAACCTGTTACTGTGCTCTCTCCGGGAACTACCGTCATTTCTTCAGGCGTCTAATTAGGCTACAATGGCTTGTGGTTATAAAGACACCTGTTGCACTTGACAGGCTTTTATTTTTGGATGGCTCTTGAATTATGGTTAGAGGTAAGAGGGATGGCCCGTTGTTCCTTTTGCATGCTCTTGAAAGGCTTTTTCAAACAGGAATCTGACTACGTCGACAGTGAAGATTTTTTTTTTTACTGTGTGTAGGGAATCTAAATAATCTATGAATTTCTCTTTTTGAGTTAAACTACTGAATGGCCGATCTGTTTGTTATCTGCCACCTTGAAGGAAATCCGATGATTCACCCAACATAACAAACATCTGACCTTGCTTTGTGCGAGTTGATTACGGTGGGCCATCTCTCGGAGCTTGTTTAATGTGACGTTTTGCCCCTCGATCAGCTGATACAACTTCTGGGCCTTGAGGTAGAATTTATATTGATTAAGAGTGCTCACATAAATCAAATCCATTTTGTTTCAAGAGCGCTCACCTCACTGTCTTTGGTGCCGATCGATTCCGTGAGGTCTTGGATGGTTCTCTCCTGACTCTGAGCAGCCTGGCGGAGGGAACGAAGCTCGCACTCCATCTCATTCAGCTTCTCCTGTAGCCTCTATGTGTGAATGCAGATGTCACAGTCAGTCTCAGCCTCCTGTCAGTCATATTCCTCTGAATTTGTCTTACCATATTGTTGGAATCACTCTCGTGGATTTTGGCCTGCAGGGACTGGACCTGGAGTTGGGCCTTCTGCAGCTCGCTGACACACTGGCCCGCTGCACACTCGTATTGGTTCAGCTGGCTTTGCTGCTCCTCGACAAGGTTCTGCAACACAAAGAGGGAGGGAGAAGAGAGTCAGGTTTAAAATCTGTAGCCCAAATACTTCATATATACAAAAGTACTGAGACAGCTTCCAATAGCTTTCAGCAGCGGGTCCGGGGCAATATTTGCTCACTAATATCAGACGTCTGGGTTATGGTCTAATCTGAGTAATACATTGACTAACAATACTGTCAGTCAATAACGCTGCATGTTGTAGTCAGGACTGACATTGAAATGAAAAAAGAAAAAAAGCAGGACCGCAAAAAGCATTGTCGCCGTATTGCGTAATGGTGGTTCTCCATTAAAAAGTCTGCTCATTCATGTGATCATTTGGAAAAAGGCTCTTGCGTAGGACTTTGCCTTTACTACATGCGTGAGTTAGCCTGACTGTACCCAAAGTGCTCTGTACAGCTATTATGTTTACATAACCCACATGTGCACTCCACTAGACGGTTGCATCAGTCCCGTGTGATTTATACTATCAGGCAAGATGAGGATTTTAAAAACAATTTAGGTCGTTATTGCAATTTCAAATGGAAGTGCTGAATTGGTGAGATGTTGTGGTTTTGTAACATTGGGTGGAAGGCTTTGCCTGAAGGGAAGTGGGTGAAATCAGGCCAACAGTACAGCCACTGTCTTCACCATCTCCCCTCTCATAACCTACTTATGTCAGCAGCTCTTATGTTTATTGTAGAGGGCCAACGTACAGAAAGCCTAACAAAGATAACGCTCAGGATTACTAATTCGTCACAACTGAATTTTTGATGCGGCCTTTAGAGACATATTGGATAGAGAAATGGGGATATTAAAGTCTACTTTTCAGTTTCACATAGGAAAACAATCCTGTGCCTTAAAATGACAATGACCTTTGTGATTGCATGCCAACACAGATATACACACATTAAGCAAGTAGGCCATGCCGTGGCTGGAAGCTTACCGACGGCTAATTCAATGTATTCTTTCACTGAGACACAAACCACAATGGCAGACATCCTCTGCCTGCCTGCTGTGTGAGCTGGAAACAGCGACTGACACATTTGTGTGGCTAATTCTGCAACAATGTTAATTGGCAGTCATTACAGAGCACCAAACATGATTATTTTTGAAACTATATATATATATTTTGTGGGTCTCAAACAGATTGTGAAACTGAGTTTTTGGGGAACTCCAATTAAGAGGTTTTCCCCTTGGGTTTACTTGTTAGTGGGCATTTTTTTCAGGTTTGTGATTAACTAGAATGAGGATCCTAGTTTTGGGGCGAACTGACTGCGAGTCGTTCACAGATCAAAGTGTCATCATCATCCAGATGCAGCGCATTCGCAATTCTGCTCGTCAAGGTGTTATACCTGATGTGGCTTTGGTGGCGGATACTCTATATAAACATCCACCGAATGGTCTTCTACATTAACACGATCTGGCCCAACATGGATGAGAGGGGCCTCCAGCTCAGGTGTTGCCATGTGGCGACATCCTTCACCATCCGGCGTTCCAAAGGTCAGTTCCAGAATTGGATCAGAGAAGTCCAATCTTCCAGGATTGGGGCTCCGTCTAAGCAACACCGGAAGTTTACTGCCTTTGGCGCTTTGTACAGGTCGGTGGACAGCATAATTCTGTAGCAAGTAGAGGGCCAGTGAGAGGCTTGGTCCAGGAGAGGATTGGCCATGTGGAGCTCTGTCAGGGAGAGTGTCAGATATCCGATCGTCCAATGGCTCTTTGGGAGTGTTCAACAGTTCATCTGTTGTGCCTTCGGGCTGAATGTAGTCCTCAGTTGTCTCCAGGGATGCTATCGAGGGGCTGGAGCTGGCTCTTCCTGCTAGAGTGTGGTCACTATCTGAAGTCTTTGACACATCCTGAGAACCAGGAACTAGTGTTAGAGAGGATGTCGGGTCATCCGGCTCATCCCCATTTCCTTTTTCCTCTAATTCCGCACCGCCACCACTGCCTCCAAAGAAGCTGGCTGAATATCTGGTGGAGGGGCCACAAGAAGTGCTCCTTGCAAGCTTCCTGGGTACCTTACAAACAGCTTCATAGTCAGAGTCTGCCACGCGCCAATGGGAACAACCACGGCATCTCCTAGGAGTGGTGGGCATACAACGGTGAGACCCTGCAACCTCTGACCCTTGCCCAGCTGACGTGTGTTGGTAGTGGTGATGGGGGCAATCCACGGTGTCGTCGGCCCAGGATTCATACAAAGAGTAGACGAGGTCCTCTTGGAGAAGAGCACAGTACTTTGCATGGGTCAGGCCTGAAATATCCACCATCCCGTCTCCTGCTGCTTCACCTTCGTCCGCAGAAGTCAGGGGGCTCTCCACCGAGTTAGTCTTCTTGTACAATCCGCCGATGCACTGCCTGAGCCGATGTTTCTCTTGCAGGAGCCTCTGAAGCCTCTCAATGGAGAGGGCCTCCACGCGGGCTATCACCGTGTCGAAACGATACATGCGGTCCAGCATGAAAGCGCACTTGGAGCAGGCAAACTCCCCGCGGCCATCCCGTGCCAGCTCTTGGCCGAGAGCGTGTGACAGCAGCACCTGCAGGTTGAGCTTGGTGGTTGGGTGGAAGATCCACCGGCGCTGGTTGCCATAGAGATCCCGTCCACAGATGCGACACGTCTCTTTCATTTTGTTGTCCAGCATTGAACAAGCTGCCTCTCTCCCTTATGAGCGGTCGCACACATAAACGTGCATGTTCAATCTGTATTCATATTCTTGTGGCTGAGTCTTTACTCAGTATTGAACCAGTATTGATAAAGATATTGATTTCCCTCCCTTATGAGCGGCTGTACACATGTAATATTAAGACCAGCAGACATTAAAACTGAATATCCTCGTCCCTTGAGTACCTTCAGTTAACCTTGGCTTGACAGGAAATATGAGTGTCTAGTCAGCTATTGCAATAGAACACTCAGACCAGGTGCGTCTTGTCCGCCAGGTGTTATTGTCCATGGCAACAGGCGTGGTGAAGTCGTGTTGAAAATATCACCGGTCTCCGAGTCCGTTTTTGTTCGGTAACAGGGCCAGCCCGCTCCTCTCCATCATTCATTCACCAGTCACGAGTTGTTGCGCCGCCACCGGCTTCATCACGACCGCCTCCCGAGGACTCTGTCCCGCCGTCGCTTTTAATATGGACATAACGCAGACGAAAAGCAGCGTAGCTGTGTTCCCAGTTCGTGAAGGGTCTTGGCAAGCGAAGGGCGCTATGTTTCTCTCATTTCATAGCCGTCTGTTACCGCGACGGTCAGGTGCTCCGCGCAGCCTGAGATCTTCCGGGGAGATAACGAGGAGGCAGGCTGAACCAAACCCGCAGCCTGGAGCGTACCATTCACAGAACAAAGGGGAGTTCAAAGCCCGTGGACGTCACACGGGTTACCAGTAGCTCATATAACCATAAAATAAGTCCTCATTAAAATACGAATACGTTTTTATAAATGCCCAAACTAATGTAGAGTCGTGAGATATTAGTCTTTCTTCTGGTTAACAGAAAATACACAGCGGAGTGTTCCCCTTTGTGTAGGCTACTTCCTCCTGCTCGGTTTGCAAAGCTCAGCTCGCCTGACTGACTCGGGCAAGTGAACTCCCGAGCAACATTAGTGACGCTCTAGAAATTTATAAAATCACACACAACTACAGTGGCTGCATTAAGTTGTAACACTGCATCATTGTCAAAGTAAGCCGCGGATATAATATATGTAGTTAAAGTGAGGCTGTAGTTATTTTAGTCGGCAAACAGTCCGGCGCATCTCTTTCATATTCACAGTTAACGTTGCAAATTACTTTGTCACGTAGGTCTTGGGTTAATAAAGCTTGAAAAACAATGTGTACAATAAAGTGACTGACCTTGATAATGTCCAGTATTAATGAGGGTGTGTGATGCCACATAATGAAAATCACAACAAATGAAACCCTTTTTACATAAGAGTAACAATTATTAAAAACGTTCACTCTTAGTTACAAAAAAAAAAAAACTACTCAAATTCTGTTATATTCCATCCATCCATCCACACATCTTATCATCACATGGATCAAGAGTGTGCTAGAGCCGATTCCAGCTGACTTAGGGCAAGAAACGAGGTACATCCTGAACAGTCAATCACTGTATTTCGTCATCCGGCTTGTGTATTTCTTGTTGCCTGGAGCAGATATTCCAACGATGATGTGAATGTCATCATCAAACAACAAGGTCTTTCTCAGGCATCTGCAATTCATTTGTCAGTTTTGTCTGGCATCCAAGCAGATGGTCACGCCGTCCTGCTGTGACTTTTGCACAAACATGCAGGAAAAATCCTCAAAGGAGTTGTTTGGCCTTTTAAATTAGTGACATAAAGACTCCAGCGGGGAAGATTTAACATGTCCTCAAGGTGATTATTTCAAGGTTAAATACGGAGTTGTTAAACCACTACGTCTGTTAGAATTTGTAATCGGAACAGCTGCAAAGGCCCAACACAATCCAAATAATGTATTAACTTTGTCCGGCCTATTTTGCCCGGCAACAGCGGAAGTGAGACCAGTCAAGATAATACTCCCTCCGCTCTGCTATAGATCGGGATCTAAATGGCTGTGGTGTCTGGGGAACAAATTAAGAGCTCTTGTGGTGAGTGTCAATCTGGAAGGACATCAACTCGATATCAGTTTCTGTCTGGCTCACGGGGCGCTCAGGACTCAACCTGATCTATCGACAGGCCGACTGAAACCAGAGTCATTGAACTGCAAGAGTGCGAGATGCCAGCATGCTCACACGCACATGTGACAGAAGGCACCGCGTTGGAATGCTTGGACACAAACACACACACGAACCGTTATCTGTAAACAGAGCTCGCTCGTCTCGAGCGGTATCGCTCTGCTCGATTGGACTTATATAATTAATGCTGACATGGAACAAGATTGTAACTAAATACTGAACTGTCGATAATTCTTGGTGACACACGACGAAATTCTTCTCATTTTAAAGCTGACTTCGAAGTTCTATTTCACATAGAATTTTAGCATAAGACTTTGTTCAGCTAAACTTAAGTAGACAGTTTATACGCCTTAGCAGGCCCCAACAATGATGTGACAGGCTGGATTGGGACATGCGTGTCTTACTATGGCAGGAGCGATCGTGTACGCGTGCATCCATTGTGACCATTTGAGCAAGTCCATTTGCATTAAACCCCACTCAATGGATTTGATAGTTAAATTGCACGCAGGGGCACCTTGAAAAGAAATCATTGCTTGTGTGACAACATATCACCCACTGCAATTACAGTAGATGGTGTCGTGTATTATTATTATTGTTAAGATGAAACTGAAATACTTTTTACACTGGTGGGTTCTGTGAGCCGCTGACGAAATTATGCCGTCCTCTCATTTTAAAGGTTTAAGAGCAGACGAAGAGCAAGCATGTCCTTGGGGCGTCAGATAAAGCTCCAACTGCAACTGGAGTCGGTACTTAGTGGATCCATAAACACTCTCACATTTTTGAATCTGTTGGCTTCCTGCTTGTGTGTCCATTCCTGAAAATATTATTTGTCGTTCGCCAGGAGGCGGCAGACTTTGTCAAATGTAGCCTACGCTGTTCAAAAAATAAGAAATTTGACTCAGTGGAAAGGTCTGTGACACAAAATGTCTTGTGTGTTAAATACAATATACACACACACATACCAAAATGCTTTTTTAAAATACACTTATTCTGTTCTGTATCAGTTTGGCATACCTGCATTTCCTGTTCAATGCGCAGCCTTTCCTGACCGAGTTCCTCCTGATAGAACTGCATGAAAGAGAAGATAATGCTTGATAAGGTCCTTACATCTTGCAATTGTGATAAAAAGGCATTTTATTTGAGTAAAAAAAAAAAAAATCCAGGCGCTGTCACTAACAGTGCATGCAGCCACCTGTTTACATCAGCGTGTGTTTGTTTGCTTAACAAATTCTCCGAGAACCGAAATAGCTCCGTTGACCGACACTATCAGCTGTTTAAACGAGGCTAAGGAATGTGACGTGCTGCTTCAGGAGCTTCTTTCCACTGGAGAGGTCTGCCGGGAAGAGACGTGGCGGTCAAGTGGAATGTGGTCATATTGGAAGGCTTGTGATAAGATTTTTGACGAGTTCTAGGTAGCATCAAGGAAAGGTGCAGTGTACCGTATATGGAGTTCACGGGGCAACTCGAGTGTGTCTTAAAAGGGCCGGTGTACCTCCACATCTTTGTCCTTCTGTAGTAGAGAGGACGACAGTTCGTGAACTCGTCCTTCCAGTGCCCCCACCCGGTGTGCGAGAGTCTTCTTCTCCGCGCTTAACTCTGCAATGAGGGCCTGCTTGGAGTGAAGCTCTTTTGTCAGGTCCTCTATCATTCTGAACAAACACACACACACACACACACACACACACACACACACACACACACACGGGGCGTCATTTTAACTCATAATGCTTACGTGACACTACAATATTTCTACCTGTACATCAAGGAATTCGCGTTTTGAAAATAATTATTTTCCTGTGTTAAATGAATCTGGATGACACAGTTTGAATTATGACTGATCTAATGACTTTTCACCTTCATTTCACCCCAAAATGTAAAAATTTTCCATCTTTATTGTGAAAATTAGCTGTTATGTTGTTACAAAATACATATTGGTGTAACTCCAAACACTTTTTTTAAAATTAAGTGCAAGCATACAATGAACATCCAAACAGCAAAAGCTATGCACTTGCCGACAGAGTGGACAATGACAGGGTGGATTTTTTTGGCAAGAAACATATCCACAAACTGTTTCTTCGTTGGTGTAAATTTCAATTCAGAATTTGACGTAATCAAGTCATGTTTTCCAAAGCTCCTACGATATCCTCATGATTGTTGTGCTGTTTTTACCTGTCTTTATTGGTGTCGGATGAAGGCATGACGTCGTGAGGCCTCTCATCCGCAGTGTTATCTTCCGTGATGGCATCTTTGGAGAGGTTGCAAGCGCGGGCGTGTGACCCAGTTAACGAGGCCGACCTGACAGCCTCATTGCGCGCTAACTGGGCCTCCTGGAAAAATGCACACGCAGAAGCAGGCGCGGGTGAATATCACTCGTGTCGCCGTATATGCGACAGGGTCGTCGAGGGCGCCGTTTAACCTCCTGCAGGAACTGTATCTTGGTCTCGAGCACTTGCTGCATTTGTTCGATCTCCTGCTGCCTCTCATGACAGCGTCTCTGCACCTCTTCTTCATTGTGGTTGGTCAAGCACTCTGCTGTTGTTCTGTCAAACATTCAGAAAAGGCCGGTCAAGCTTTTGAAGGCATATGTCAGCATGATGGAGGTTTTAGTTTGGGTGGAGAAAAAAAATGAAACATGATGACATCATTTTTTTCCCCGCCTCAGCTACAGTTTTGAAGGGTGAGTTGACCTAATATTAATCAAGTAGCCCCACCCACCATTTAAGGCTTTTATTGTATTGGGTCATGCCAAGATATACCCAAGCACATGTGTTGTTCACACTTTTTTTTTTATAGAGCAGTATATATACACCAGGGTCACGTCATTAGGTACGCCAGCAGAATCCATCTACATCTTTTTATTTTTACAGTCACATCACATATCTTGAATTCCCCCCCACCCCTCTCCCACAAACAGCAGAGTGAGCATCAGTCTACCTCACGTTGTCGGTCATCGCAACGCTCCCAGAATTCCCGCTCCCAGAATGGCACACGCCACACTGTCGCCACTGAGTCCCATTCTGGAACTTTGTCTGCATTCAAACTTGGCTCGCGGCAGCTCACGCAAACAGCTCGGTTAACTTGGATATTTTGAACGCGTCTTGAGTAATGCGCGCATTTCTAAATGCGCTATTCATAAGCGGAATGAACAAATATCTTCACTTCATTGAGCGTATATGACGAATGCGGACACGGGCATCATCATGTCTGCAAAATTTAATTTTAAACCATCTGAGGATGACTCTCTTGTCAGAAACCGGCATTGGATGAGACCGTTTTTCAAATCCAAGAGAAATTGTCACGTGTGTCAGCTTCGCATGACAACCATCAATCTACATTTGGGTGTAGTTCAAATATATGGCATGACCTCACACCACATTTACAGACCCTGTGACAACACTTTAAAACACGAGGTGACAACAAAATCTGAAATAGTGAGCAGTTTGGAACACCACGGCACATGTTGGCTGAGGATGAAGTGTTTGACGATAAATGTATAGAACCTATAAATACCTTTCAGCGCTATCTGAATTATGTCTTGATTCCTTCAATTAATAAAATGACACAAACGACTTTCGGTTTTGGATTCTACTTGAGTGGTCTTGTAAGCCACCTTCGAGTGTGAACTTACAGAGCTTTGTCCAGAAGCTGCTGTTTTTCTTGGAGCTCCTGCTTCAAGCTCTCCACTTCCACCTTCAGCTCGATGTTCTGCAACAAATGCAAGCACAAAACTCTAAATTCTATTCGTTCAGCCTTCTTTTGGAAACTGTGGGCGCGCAGAATAGAAGCTACGATAGTGGCTGCGGTTGCGTTACGCATCCACTAGATGGAGCTACGCTAAAGGGAATACAATACAATACAGCTTTACTTATATACAGTTTTCGCAACCGCTGCCGCTGTCAGAAAGCGCTTTATAGAACACTGAAAATACTACGTTCAATAAATCAGAAAATTGATCCATATATAAGGCACATCGGATTAAAAGGCACACTGTCGGCTTTTGGGGAAGTTGAATGCTTTTTGGTGCGCCTTACGGTGCGGAAAATATGGTAATTTACTTTTAGTGGTCTGCACTCCTCTGGTGGTCTTCTGCTTCTGATCGGTATTTACATTTATTTGATATTGATCATTCATGAACAATATCGTCAAGTCTTCTAAGTCTAAGGCCGTCTCCCGAAAACTGTCGTGATGGCATGAGATCACTTCCTAATCTCTCCATCTGCAGAGTGAATCAGAGCTTGTAAGTGTTGTGTATCAGTTCAGAACCCGATCGTGCTGTCGACGTTGGTATATTTAGAGCAGTAGAATTCACAGCAGCTCAGATATTTAACCCCTGATGGCCAAAGGTTGGACACCACAGTTTGTTTACCTGCTGGGTTCCATTAGGTCACAGGTGTCCAAAGTCCACCCTGCGGGCCAGATCCATTCCTCCCCTCCACTGATGGCCAAAGGTTGGACAGCACAGTTTGTTTACCTGCCGGGTTCCATTAGATCACGGGTGTCCAAAGTCCACCCTGCGGGTCAGATCCATTCCTCCCCCCACCCCCAATTCTGGACCTCTGATTTACAGCTGAGATCAAATGAACTCTTATTGATTAGACTCATGGTCACCTCAACAGATTGACCACGTCTTTGCTTCGCCGGCTCTCGAAGCAGCCGTTATCTTTTATCGTCTCCCCTCACAAATACTGTACGTACTTACAAGAACTAGACATGTAGTAACAAAAACGCCTGAAACTCATACTGCACTAATCGTGAATTTTGCAGTCATCTAATGCAGGGTGAAGCGGCAAACGAATCACTTTCTGCTTGACCACACTGTCTTTGCTCATGTCCATTTCATCAGCCAAATTAAGCTGCTAAAAACTGCGAAACTGCTATTCAGAAAAAACAATTAGAAATCACACAATCAACCCCTGAATTGATTTGTTACGATTTTAAGTTATTCATCTCGAAGAAAATGTATTCGATATTTCGGAAACATTTCCGAATCATTCTTGAGATAATCTAATCGAACACAATCTCGAATATACTTTTTCCTATTATGTAATGAGTCACCTCAGCAGTGATGGTAAATCAACACGCTGCCGAGAGGAATGTGTATTAAGTGTGTGGCAACAGCTCTCTATATATAGACAAGCGTCAGGGTACACCTGCTATTTTGGCTCCTTTTGGCCCCTCAGCCCTCAGCAACAAACTCCCCGAATAAAGCCGGCGCAGAGGGACGTGACTACATTTACAAATTGAAACAAACCGGTTTTACTCTCGCAGCTTACAGTCCGAGAGATGGATTTTTGAAAGAGGACATTTGCCGGCTATTTGCTTACAGCTCGTCAAATCAATAAGAGCAACGCGCTGCCCCCGTGTCTCCCCGTCAGAAGGACTCTCGTGCAACCGCATGTGCGTTCACTCGGGTTAAAAATAGTGTATCAGAGCTTTGAGAGGGATCGCTATGTACCCACCTAGGCTGTCCTGGGTTTCGCTGAAATGTTTAGACGGTGGGCAGCGAGCCTTCGCTCTTGACGCCCCGCCAACAGCAACAAGCCAGAGCAGCTTTCCCGTACGGAGCACAGACTTAGTCGCCAATCGCAAAGTTATTAAACCGATACAAGTGGAGATAAAAGATGCCACTTCTGGTGGACAATCATAATTGGGAGAATATTCAATCCAGTCTGGATCTAAAACACAATTGCCCGTTTTCCAAAACAAGAAAATGAGAAACAAAGATATACGAAAGCAAGACACTGTAAAGTACTTGAAACATAGCCAAGAATAAAAGAACATCAAGCCACAACATTGAGTCCACTGACACAATTTAGTTGTTTTTTTTTTCTTTGTTGAGCAACACTTCAGTGAAGCAGCTAACAAAAAACAAATAAATAAATACAAATTAAAAAAAAAAAAAAATTCGCAATTTTGCTGATCAAAACTGAAATTACTTTTGAAAAAAAAAATCCATCTATGGCTTTGTTAATAGCAGCTTGGTTAATCAAGCAAATTTAGTCGAAAGCCGAAATAATTTAGTCACTGATCCTGAAAGAAATGTATCCAGAGATTCAAGAGACACAAACATGGCGAGAAAAGAGGATGCACGTATACACTTGAATGATAATGTAGAAAAAGCCTGCAAAAAAAAAAAAAAAAAACATTCTACTAAAGTTTGTGTTCCTTATTAAGCAACCATATTCCGCTTGATCACATTGTTTTTGCTAAGCAGCCAAAAAAAAAAAAGACCATTCACAATCCAGCTGATCAAAACTGCTATTTTCAAAAAAATAAATAAATGAGTACACTGGTACATGCACAATTATTTGTTCATTTGCCCCCTCCCCATAGTTAATAAAGGAAATATACTTCCCCTCCTATAGGTCATTAGATTCTTTATTGATCCAGAAGGGTATTTCATTCACGAAACCCGAAGAAAATTCTTTCATTCAAGAGGTACTGATGCTCTGCCGAGACTTAAAATATTCCAAGAAAATGAGGACATCGCTCCACAACATTAGACACACTTACACAATCTGAAGGAGAATTTTTTTTTTTTTTAATAATTTTGTAACTAGAACGAAATGTATTACAACACATGCCTCGCCCACGGCCAATCTTTTATATGTAAATTTTTCTTTCATATATTTCTGCGTTAAGGCTAGTACCATATGTTCGGCAAACTCCAATAAAATATGCCTTTACAAAAATTTTCATCTCCCCATTTTTTTTTTTTTTAAACCAATGACCACTACTACACAAGAACACTTTCTTAAGTGTGAAGCAGTCCATTTGAAAGCCACAGCACCATTCAAAAGTCAATTTCTCTGGTTTCGTGAACACCAAAATATTGATCCGAGCCATTTGCACTGCAACCACGCAAAAGTCCCTTCGCAAAATCCTAACCTAACACCTTACACATCCTTCACAATGGAGACGCTTCTAAAGGCATCACAGGCAGTTGACGAGCAGGGCAGCTGAGCCAACAAACGAAAGATTGCTCAGAGAAGACCATTTGCAGCCAGATGTTTTGTTTTTGTTTTGTGACAGTCTCAGTTGCAGGAAAAGACACACCTCCGCACTCACTCACCGTTCGAAAGACATCTTCGCTGCTCTCCTCGTACTTCTGCTGAATTCTCTCCTCCAGGAAGTAGATGCGCAGCTTGAGGCTGAAGTTCTCCTTCTTCAGGTCGTTCAGGTGCTGTGACAAAGTGCGGTAGCCGTTAGACATGACCGTCAAAGAGCGCCGACGCTGCTTGACATGTCCGGTACAAGTCAGAAAACGAAAAAAGTCCTCCTCAGCTTCTCCATGTCACGCCATGTCCAAGGACATGTGCCTCTTCTCCTCCGGGCTGGTATTCGAGAAAAAACGTCGCTCCTGTTGGGCCTCTCACACCCCATTGACAAAAATCACACACTTCTAAACGAATAAATAACACACGCGGAGTTTATGAGAGTATTAGAGGTGCAGAGGGCATCCCTGCTGGCCGAGCGGTCACGGATGCATCCGTGTCAGCTCCATGGTGTGATCTGGGAGCGAGGGGATGGCACTCCGGTTTATTTTACAGGAGCACACATCCCTGGAATCTCAGACGGCCAAGGGAGTTGGGTGAAAGTGGAGGAGAGCAAGGGGGAGGGATGAACACACGAAGGGGGGGAGGAAAGACACTCGGGGTTTGCAGGCAATTGTGATATGATGGTAAGTCTCACCCTCTTGCAACAAACAACAGATGACACGCACATCCACACGGACACATTTCATTTTTGGGCCTTTCATTTAGGCTTTTCAAAACAAACAAAACATCTTTGGCGATTGAAATGAATGACAATGCCATCATCCCGTTGCAGCTAATTGCAAAATTAAAAACATACAGTAATGACAAAAATTACAATAATTGTACAGATTGATTTGTTGACGTGATGGTGCAACACTCAGACCATTACAACACAGCTGCAACAATGTTGTTTTTGTTTTTTTTACAGAGGGGGAAAAATATGCCTATTGTTGTGGTGTCTGTCTAAAAGTGTTGCTGCACCATTTGTGTTCTAAATAAATAAAAACTGTCTTGTAAGTCGAGGCACCACTGTGCTTTTTCTAATGCCTTCCTATGTGGGGAAAGGAGAACCACAACCGTGAGAACAGTTAAAACACTTAAGCACAATGAGCACGCTCACGCAGGAGCTGCTGTCAGCCATAGCTCACTGCCAGACGCTCACACGCATATGTCAAATGCCATCGGGTCCTGCCTCTTCAAGGCACAGTTACAGAATGTCTCACACAGTAAATACGATATGTACATTATTCTATATTCATTTTATGCCTGTTTTTTTTTTTGTGAGCATTCAAATGTGTTTCCAATGTAAATAAAAAATAAAAAATAAAGGAGTTCTGGTGGTGAGGAGCACCACAGAACAGTCAGTGAACATTTTGCAGAATGCAACAGCAGACTGAGTCGACGGCAAACTTAAGAGGGAGCTTTCCTCATTCACTATACTAAAGAGAGATAAGTGAACACTTTTAACAAAACAAATTTGCAACCAATATTCTCAACCAATATTAAACAAGCTTCAGTTTTGACTAATAGTGTTCCGGTGAAATGGGTTATTTACACATGGGGGGGAGAAGTCACAACTTCCTGTTCCGGATGAGATCACCGAGGGTGTCCATTAAAGTGTCCTATTACACGCTGTGGTTCAATAATTCAGAACAAAATTGACATCAAACTTAGTGTCTGCCTGGATTTCGGATGACGTGATGCGGCGCATTAACACGTGAAACGTTGGCTTCCGTGCTCGCACACATCCTGTTGAAATCTAATCTCACAAAACACACAGTGAGAACAATAACGTAAGATTTTGTGAAGACGAGAGTCCACAGCCAATGGTAACTGAGTTGTCTCTTGATCAATCTGACATTTCTTAAATATAAAACACATATTTATTGTATATTTCACTCTAAGTACTGTATAAAATTTGCCGTTGGAATTAGCAACCTAATTGTTTACTGTCACACCTGAGGTTACATCTTGACACTGTGTTGAGATTCTGCGAGCAAACAATAAAAAGAATATTTGTCTCAATGTTCCCAGAAGCTAGCGTAATAATCATGCAGAGTTAGGATGGGAAAATCTGGGCCATATTGAAAGCCCCGAGGGAGAAAACCAGGAGGTTCCATTCAGGGTGTTTTTCCATGTGATGCCCTCACCTGGAGATGATCTGATTTCCATCCATAATGAAATCCGTTACATTTCGGTTAACATCGTGGCCGCAGCCACTTTTCTGACATTTACCCCTATCAGGCAGAACAAAATACAGGCCTGCATGTTGACACCATCCATCAATAATCTGAATTATGTTCTAAATGAACTTTTCAGTAAATTTTATAATTCCTCTTGTTGCAGTGAACCCTTTAGGTACTACCAGGGCACACAAAAGTGGTGTGCGTTGAAAATATTCACGTGTGCACCCGATTTGAATGTGTCAGTCAGTGTGCAATTGCGTGTTAAGCAGCTCAGTCAACGTGACTGCAGTTCGGCCACCCTCTAGCAAAAGTCAAGTCAGCTGCCACAGCAATTGCTTCCAAGAGCCAACTTCAAAATAAAAGCACCAATAATAAGGCATAGTTATTAATCTACAACAGATGTGCGTGAATTAGGGCCTGGGGTCGGGGGGGAAAAATGACTGTCAAACAAAAACCTCTGATGTTCTTGTGAGAAAAACACTTTTTTTTTTTTCCCTCTATGTTCACCCCTGACTCATAACACGAGGTTCCAAACGGTGGTACACTGTACCGCAGGATGAATATATTATTTTGCTGGCCTTTACAAATATGACAATGGAAGCACACAATTACAATTCAACATTCCCAAAATAGTCAAATTGTACGCTGCACGTCTGGACATGTAATCTTGTAATCACACACTTGACCCCAAGTTTGCAATGTAGAGCACACTGTCCCCAGATCACTCTAAATGACTGCCAACAATCTAGGGACCAGAAAAGCAGTCAAAATGATTTACATAAGCGTTGGAAAGTCTGCGACAAACGTCAAGCATGAAAATCATGTTCAAAATCAGCACGCTGACACATTATTAAAACGTCTGGTTTTACAATAAATATGCAATAATGAGAATATACATTTATATATATACTGTATATACCTGCTCAAACTGCTTGAGAGTGTGAGGCTGAAGTGGAGGAGTGTTGTCTGCTTCGTCTCGACACACATCTAAAACAGTTTAGAATTAGAAACAAAAAAATGAATAAATAAATCAAGCTTTTACTAGATGTCTTCCATACAGAATTGTAGGTCAGGCCTACCTGTCACGGTACCTGTGACTTTGGATGATGCTTCCTCCTCCACAGCACTGTGCAGAGAAAAATAATTCCACTGACGGTTTATTAGAGACATATTAGAGACTAAATATTAAGTTGCTCCAAATGGCGAATGTATGTGATGTATCCCTTGGAGTCATCAACATTATGAAGAAATATTAATTAATTTATCGAAAACTGAACTAAACTAACCAAAACAGGATAGGTTTATTATTTTTTTATGCCTAAATTGAAGAGAAAAAAATATCTGCTGGAAACCCTTCTTTCGTCATTTGCACGTCTGTGAAGAATTGTGGTGGTGGGGGGACTGTCATTAATTAGCCCATGAAGGACACCCAGCAGGAAACATTTGGAGGGATGGGAAGCAATACAGGCTGCAAATCAATAGTACAGTGAGCTAACTAGCATGCTAGCATGGTGCTAAAAATACACCTATATTAAAGTAGAACTATCCTGGCATCCCACACATGCAGGCCGAAAGCTCCCAAATGCACTTGTGCCGAGCCATACATGGCACATTCCTCAAAACAGCTGAAAACGACAAGACAGTTGCAGCATACCAGAGCTTAAAAAGTTCACCACATGAGCAGACTAGTTGTTCAAATCCCGCATTGTTGTGCTTGAGCCAGACAATCACAATGAAACGACACTATTGTTTTTTTTTTTTTTCTAATGTGCCACACTGCAGCATGGTAAGAATTGACATGTTAAACAGCAACGGTTCGTGTTTTGTTAGCATCATGGAATTTCCATTGTATCTCTTATGAGAGTTGTGTTGTTGTTTTTCCCGTTACTTGTTTTGCTGCTTCGTTGCATATTAATCGAAACAGGTCACCAATAAAACACCAACCATCTCATTTTAATATTGAAATGACATTTTAAAAAATTGACGAAAATGCAAATGGGCTAGGCCTACGCTTTTTCAATTCAATCTACCATTTGCAATTTGGCACTGAACCATGTTCCGAACACCTAAAGGCATCTCTAAACGAGCTTAAAATAAATATTAGCTGATTGCCGGCTTGCCTTCCAACACCACCGTTTCCCTTCGGCGCTGCATTATCTTAGGAAAGAAAAAGCACCTCACCTCTCACACTCGCCCCACATCGGCGATGAACTCCGATCCATACAGTTACAACAATTCCTTTTCGATCAATGAGCGTCCATGTCGCCTTTAAAGCACACCGTCGTCTTGAGCCATCTTTTCGCAGGAGTGAGGAGCACAGTGAAGTGTGTCGGCTTACTCGGCTGGAGGAGGAGGAGGAGGACGAGGAGGCGTGTGCGCCCTCCGTGGAGCAGAAAACGTGACACAAAAGGGGGAGCACTCTGCACAGAAGCTCGTCGACTGCAGCATAATGAACACGGAGAAGGACCGCAGGGCTGTAGCGTTTCCAGTCGCGACAAAATTCTTGAAAGCCGTTTGAGCATTTATTCGATATCCTTGATCTGTGTGCTTGTATGCTCTTTGTCAGTACGAGTTGGACAATTCAGCAGAGCGAATTTTTTTAATGCTCAAAGGCTTTCTGTGGACATCAATATCCTTGATGTCACCTCGAGGTTGCACTAGGAGGCCAAAAGTGGCACTACAGTAGTGAAAAATAGTTGCTACTAGTAATTCACAGTTCCACCGAATTGCACTGAGTTGTCTTTCTATGACAAAGCGTGTACATATACGTATAATACATTTGTTTAGCGCTTTCACAACAGCTTCGGCTGCAACAATAGTTCAAAGGTTTTTCAAGCCTTTTTATATATTTATATTAATATTTATATCCTAGATATTTATCTTAAGGTCTTACTAGGAAGCCATAAGCAGGGGAGGAGTTATGTGGTGGCCAGTGGTGGTCATGGCCACCCCTTGTCATTCTTTCGCTACCCCCCC